ACGACGCAGTAATCATCGTTCGATCTGGTTGTCGACAAACACACCTGTTGGAGTTGTACCGTCTGGGGTGGTGTACTGGCGGTGCTTACCAGAGCTCAGGATTTCGTAGCAATGTTACTCGCTACAGACGCTGAGCAGACGCAATGCGAGCTGATAAAATTTCCATCTTTAATGCAAAGAGCATCCAACGTCAATGCGCCTCTTTCTTCGACCATGTAAACATCAGCCGGAACACGTCATCCGCGCTGCTTATAGCTAATTTTGTCTATGCTGCTTTAACCAGCCAACATCGAAAAGTAAACCCGACGTAGCCTTCTACGCAACAGCATGATTCACTCTTGAGTTACAACAGCGAAGACTACAATAATAGTAATCCTATCCATCCTTGAGGAACGGTTACACGAGGGAGAGAAAAGTCTACACATGACTGTTGATTCGAACTTACTACCTGACTTTTCGATGAAACTGAAGTAGTCTTTATGTCGAAATATGCAGCAGTGAAGAAACACCGATGAATTATTTAATTGGAAAGCTAGTTATCGTAATTTTGCAATCAAGTACCTGCGTTGGAAAATTATACTGCTCAAAGTTTCCGCAACGATAAACAGTGCGAATAACTTGAAGATTCGCAGGTATAATCTCCAAACTGTATTTACTGTTTTCTGCTGGTATAGCGTTAATCGGAGCTGCTCTGTGCATCCTTCGCCTTTTAACTAATCACGCAATACGTGATGCAGCCAAAGTACAATAGAAATGCAGAATTCAAACGAAATAGCACTAATCAAGATATACGGAGCAAATGCGCAGCGGATATAGAGACATGATGTTTTGTATATGATACGTATAATTCAGTTTGGTCATAGCTAAGGTCGTGAGCGAAGTTATTTTCGATTTATTTTGAATTGCTACATCCGCTGCATCTCTAGGCTCAAGTTTCAACGAACAAACAGCGATCGTCAGTCGGAGATTTGCATGCAATTGTGAATGAACAGGCAATGGAAAAAATCGCTGTTTCGCTGTCTCAGGAAAAAATTTGTCAAATCTAATCTCTTGCCTGATTTGTCGAAAATGTGAGCATAAATTAACTTAACCGTCAGGAAAAAATAAATTCACTGAAAGGTCACAGATGTTGTGCAAATGAATTCAGAATCATCCATTCACATTTGATCCCATTAGTTTCAGTCAATTATTCGATTATGAATTCAGCTTTATTTTCTGTTATAGGATTTGCACCACATATGCGCACCACCCCTTTGCTCCTAATCGCCTGGCTGGTGCACTATTTGCCTCCGGATAGCGGTAAATTTATTTGGTGCTCCAAAGTCACATTTTCAACCTGATTCAATGATTCTCCTCTGCGTCCAATGCGCTGAGAATGAATAATTAGTACGTTCATAAAACGGTCATATTAAGCAACTAGAAACAGCGGGGGCGGCTACCGCTGATCACATCCGGTATCAGAAATTTAAGTATTTTAAGGCCAGCGGCAATGTGATAGTTATCACAGAACAAGGGGGGAGTTATAATTTGTTTATGAGTTACGCACTGACATCTAAGTTCCGTTACCTTAAATGAAAAATGTCATTTTGCAGTTGACTTTCAAAATTTTTCTATTTTCTGTTAAGCCCTGTCAAACGTTCCACAAGACATATTTTTATAGAATTTTAGTCAGAGAAAAAGTTAAGTGCAGTATTTAATCACCTTCCTTAATAATAGCATCGGCAACTGCAGGCAATTGCGCATCGCCAGCAACCACAACTGAATGTATTTTTTTCGGACATTTTTTATATTCGTCAAACCGTTATTGATCATACGGATATATATTTACGCAACAGTGATAGATCATGCGCATATACTCATCCACTTAATGTGCTTGACATAAAATTCATAAACGGATCACATTTCGTTGAATGCCTGACGTTGGGTATATACGGCAATGACGACTATGCCCTTACCTGAAAGCGCCCGTGTTTGCGCATTTTAGAAGAAAAAAAAATCAGTGTTTGTGGGGTGTCAAGTGCTCCAGTTCGTCTGCAGTGCGATTCAGCAAAGCTGCGGCATCCCGATAGCCCATGATCAACTGCTTCAATACAACAACGTCCATGTGATTCAGCTTCTTGCCAAGAATGTCGTGCCTGTTGTGTTTCATACCGTCAAAGACGTTGAGTTGTTCTCCAGATGTTCGAGGTAGTTCGAACGATGATGTCGTTAAGAAATGGTTGCTGGCAAACGCTGAATTCGTGCAGTCCATCGATGAGAGAAACCTACTGTAGTTCTGTGGCAAAGTAGCTAATCCTTGAAGATAAGTACTGGCTGGAAACGAATGTACTCCCTGCTGAGGAAGCACATTTGGCGAAGACTTGTTTCTTTCCTGAAACGTGGACGTACATAAAACTTATGTTAATAATTGTCAGTGCAAATGATAAACTTGAAATATTAAAATGTACTTGAATGACGTAATAAAATAATTTCAGAGTTTCAAACTTGAAGGTCCAGTAAGTCATGCTTGTAGTACGTTATAGTAGCGTGTTCAATAGACCCCTGCTTTAGCCGGCTGCAGCGGGCCATATAAAATATAATATCAATTTTAAAATCCATGCCAGTGGATAAGAATTACTTGCCTTATAGTTTCAGTGCCTTAACTAGAAAATTAATTCAGAGAGCTTCCAGGAGGTCAACGTTTCGGATCTTATAGGTATTAATCAATTCAAGCGCAAAGGATGACGGAAAAGAATAAACAGAACTATGTAATGTCGATGATGCATATGTATTGACAAAAGGTTAATTTTCAATAGAGTAAGTTTAATTTATTTTTCACGTGAAAATATTGCATTAGGAAAATAATTTTAACCGAATTTTGTTTGCTTCCTGGGCGAGTAAAAAATCTAAATGCGATAGTCATTATTAACTGTGTAGACTATTTACACTTTATAAAAAATTATCTGATTCTAAAATGACCGCAATAATAAAGCTTTATTTGATTAAACAATGTCAATTGCCAGTAAAGTTTCAGAACTAACGAGAATATAATGCATTATCTATCGCTGAGTGTACTCTATGCATAAAATTCGAATTTTTTATTAATATGAAATGTTTAAGTACATCAGCAGAATATTTAGCACAGCCAATATATTATAGTTGGATGTAATCCCCATAAGAAAATAAATTTTCCATATTGACTTACCATCTTCAATCTAGCTGAATACTTCTGCATTCGTGGTAATCATGGTAAGTTTGTTTATAGAGAGGTATGAGACGGAATGACGACTGCCTTAGAAAAAAAATACTACAGGGCTTAGCATTGGATTAAAATTTATAATGTAACCAGTACAATGTCATGCGAATATTTTTTACATTAGAATCACTCAAGCGTCACAGATACAGATGTACTATAATGGAAAAGGCAATGTTCTGTGATGACTGACTCTGATGAAATGCTGGAACTTCAGGTGATGTCATGCATGAATTAAAGCTTTTAGCAGTAATAAAAATGTTGTGATTTATGATACCCAATGGAACTCGCAAGCAAAGAAAACACTGTAATGGAAAAGTACTTTTAAAACATTAAGAATAAATGCTGACTGAGGAAGCTAGAACTAATTCACTTTTAGGCTGAAGTTTTCAATAATGCATACCTGTTTCCACTTCTTGTTCGAATTTTCAATGGAGCTTTCATGTTGATCTTCATCCTTTTGTGCATCTCCCGCACTAGCGGCAATGCCTTGGTTCTAAAACAGCAACAATTCCAAGAACATGCAATGAGGATTTATAGGACAACTTTAAATAGTTATTTTGAAGATTTGCATACAAAACAGTGCAGGCCTGTTTAAAGAATACATGTACCATTAGTGAATAGCAATGGGTCACATAAGCAAGCTCAATTTTGCATAGAACGAATAGTTGTGATATAATATCATCCACAAGCATCATCCGCCATATCATATACATACAATTCGAGTTTCCATGCTTCCAGAACCAAAACGTTGTCAGTAGATAGGTACCATGTTGTTTATCCGGGTCAAGTTCAATGCCCCGCTGACACAATAAAACAGATAATATTAAAATCGAAAGTGATTTGGAAGAGAATTCGCTTGCATGTTTAAAAAGGCGATACTTCAAATGAAAAACAAGCAACTATCAGGTACAAATCGCTTGAAGAAATGCTAAACATTTTATCTTCGGAAACTCGTTCTGTTATTCTGCCGATTCACTGCCGAAATTCTAATGAGCAAAACAAACAATTTACTATTTTAAAAATGAACTCATTAAAGCATGTAGTTGCCATTTGAAGAAGTCTCCAGCGGGACATTGAACTTAAATTTGCCACATAAATTATGGAAATAAATTTTCTTCTATTTAGACATCTAAAATAAACTAAAGACGAATTAACGAGCGCACACTTACCATCCAATCGGGAGCAAGATCCTTAACATTCTGTATCTCAGAGTAAAGAATCACCTACATGAAGCTTCCATTTTGGTGACTCCCTGTCACCTCCCGTTCGGATGAGGCGACTTATTGGAGCCCGCGTTCGTGGCACTGACTCTGAGGCCAGTGCAATTTTTGGGTATTCAGGCATGGATGGTACGCATGTACGAAATAAATATATTTGAAAGCTATAGGCAAAAGAATTGAGTAGAAAATGCAGGACTCTAAGTCGTTATGAGGTGCACCTTCTACAAACCTACGTTACTATGAATATCATAACGATCTTAAATTACTTCATTCTGCTCTTTGTTTCTACCCAAGGCTCAACATTACACTCTTTCGTGCATCGGTACAATCTATACTTGTAAAACCTGCTACAAATGCAGCCGTCTCCAGTTATTAATTAGGTTACAATATGACTTCTCATCCAAACGTAATTTGGCAAAGTTATTTCATTGAATGAAACCGATTTTTAATGCGAACCATAAGTAGCACAGGCATATGAAAATATGGCATTTAAAAAATAATGCTTAACTTGAGATAAAACTCTATATTAAGATGGCACAGTAATTTTTGACTTGCATTTCGTATGAAATTATATGATTATGGTGTATGTCTGGACATTTTATTGCTTTTTTCACTTGAACCTACCGATGAACGCCTATAATTGTTCGCTCGATACCTCCATGGCAGAAAAGAGGTTGTCGCAACTTCTAACTCAATTTTTGAATAAAAATGTTTTGCTTAAAAAGGCCTATATTATATACAGTCGAATTTTTAGACAGTCTTCAACAATTAGCTAAAGCAGCGACAGCTTTTATGGGGAACATCGGTTGAGATCCAGACAATAAAGCAACGCAATTACTTGTTCTGATTCTGCTAAATCCGATCTTTCTCTTTTTCTTTTGTCATTCTGACTTTCGGCTTGGTTGCTTTCCGTCGTACTAGAAGGTTGCGGATCACTTGCATTTCTCTCCATCCTAAAGTCAAAAGGGAGACATGCTGGTGCTAGGCAACGAAGCAATGCTAGATTGAACCTGATAATTATTTACATTACGGTATGCCAATTTTACTGTTGCCGTGAAACTCTTGTACTGCAACTTTCCTGTTGCTCTTTGCTGTGACCACCATTGAAGATCATCAGCTATGTTTACAAAAGAAACAGTAGATATAAGGTTTCCATTTTTTCCGACGCCACCATGACTCGAGTAATTGAGTGAATTGCAGCCAAATATCCTGTATTGGACATCCATTGCTTCGCAATGCTTAACAGATATTAACGTCATATTTGACGCTGATAAGTTTCAGTAGCAAAGGACGAGATAAGTGTGACAAAAACTGTTGAGTAGTAATCAATAATGTCACACAAGGCAACCGTCCACCTTGAAGTGCTTTCGTTCAATTTTCTCTGGAAGAAACGACAAGCATCCACTTACTTTCAAACCATTACAAATGATATAGAGAAAGTAACAGCACTGCTTCATATGAGCAGTTTGGCAGATTTTAAATAAAATCTTCCATTTAGCGTTTAACCCATTCCACACATATTTTTTGCTGCAATATTCGACTCGTTACATTAAAGGAATATCGAATATTGTGTGCTCAAAAGGTGGCAAAATGATAACGAGCAAAAATTAACTTGTCTCATAGTAACATCATTTTCGATATACGCCGAAGTTATTTGTGCTGTTGAGATTTTTAACGCGAATGGCTTTGGAGGTAGCAGAAGATTTATCTTTTTCATTATCATCCTAGGTAACGGAAAAATTTTTAAAACGCTGGGTGACACAAGAGCAGTTTCAGGCATAATCACAAAACAGCCTACCACTTGGTTGGAATACCGGAAGTAATATATTCCCGTGATGCAGACTTGAGATAGTAGTCTTTTCTGTGCTTATTTACGTCAGATGTCATTTCCAAATTAGACTGCCCTCAACTAAGGTAGAAAATATTTTTAGACCCGTTCACTAGAAAATTTTAGTTAAGTTCCAAGTTCCTTATTTTCATTTAAATGAAGAGATAGTCTAATGTGTATCAGGGAACAGTATTTGCCTGATAAACCTGAAACAGACCACAAACCAAAAATCAACCATCAATCGCACTTCTATTTTCTTACATTAACCGATGGCTCTCCGATATTCTTTCCCGTGTATCTACACCAATCCGTGGAAGCCGGCGCTTGAACCGACTTGCAGAAAGCACGAGGAAGATTGTCTGTTGTAGAGCATATATGAACTCACTATTTCATAAATGTGAATGTGAATATTTCACAATATTTCATATGAACAATACTTCATAAATTAGTCGTAAAATGCAAATATGGAACAAGCATGTCGCCAATGCGACTGATATAACCCAGTGAGTATTTCGCAACGAAATGGAAAATATACAAGGTAAGATGAAGCGTAGGAAAAGAGGAGTTAGACATTGCAACAGGCCACCAATGCGGCGTTCTGTCACTTGAAATCCATTGGTGGAGACCGCTGTGTGGGAGAACCTCGACAAAAACAAAAGTAGGGTACGAGAAAACATGGCCTGAATAAACAGAGCACACTGTTAAGGTTCAGCAGTAGCAAAACGCTGGATCATAGAAAACTATGCCATTCGGTGGCAACTAAACAAAATAATTTAGAATAGAAGTGAAAGAAACGTAGACGGTAGAATCCGTGATGATGGAATTAATGATCGTTGTAAGAAGCAAACTAGAAGGGACGTACACGATTAACTTAAAACACCAGCATCTAACCTTCTCTATTATTTGTTTTGCCCCATTCTCCATCTATATTTAAATTTGACTACGCACAATTCGATGAAACAGCAACAGTCGCGAGTGTAGAACCAAGCCACGAACCCTGTTCCGACGAGTCTTCTCATTCAAACTACAGGGTTAACATAGAATATTTGCCGTTAATGGAGGTGGCTTACCATCATGAGATGTACTTTTTTTGAGGATCGAAATCTGAAGATCTTCTTGATCTTATATTCTCTGAAAATCTGCTCCGGATTAGTCAGTGGTTAAGCATTCAGCAATTCATCCAGTAATTGTAATTATAAATTTGACATAAACGTGTTTTTCAAATTAAACTTCAAGGCAGTTCCTCGATGCACTTCTAACTTTCTCAAACGATGTGCAATACGAGCAAAGAGATTAAATCATTTGCCGAAACGACTATTATTCAGTAATTGGTATGACTTTCGAACGCCCCAAGTTCCTTCGCCTTTATATTCATACAGCAAATACGTTCCTGCCTCTTCTTCCTTCTGTGATTCTCTTTTTGTACCTTCTTGTAGTCACGTCTTTGCATTATAGCGAGGTTTTCTCTGTTCAACAATTGATATGTTGTGATCGGCTGGTTATCCTTATTTACTGTGGACTCGAAGTAATGTTCGTTTAACGTTTTAATTTATCGTTTCTGGCAGTTTCTGCTAATTTTTCTGATGTCTGTGCTCATGACCAACGTGTCGTAGCAAAAGCGCTGTTATTAGCCATAAAATGCAAAAAACGTAAGATCGAAGATTGCGCCGTGTATTGATATGCACTCGGTGG